ACTTTCAGTACAACATCATTAAGCATGATTTTAGAGTTAGGGTTTCTGACAGATGCCTTTTTGGAGATAGAAGATGTTCTGTTTTTACCGATGAAGCAGGGAGGTTGAAGGGAGTCTGTTTGAGAAAGGCTCTGTCTCTGCTGTTTTTCTGCGAGGCCCCACTTACTCAGGCTCCTTATTTTGCCCTTGAACAAGCCAAAGAACTATGTGCCCAGTTCAAGGGGCAAGCAAGAAAGGTAATCGTTCTCTGAGTCTTGTCCTGGCCCCAATCACCTGATACCATCTAAGACAAGCCAGTCCCAACCGTGCTCCACGATGCTAACTTCCAACAGAACTTGGCTGACGCTGGAACCAACACTCTCCGCCTTCAGGACAACACTGTCGGGGCCCGTCTCACTCCTGGGAGCTTTTTCTGTACCCTGGCTTACTAAACTTCTGTTGCTTTACCCGCAAAACAAAAACAAAACCACAAAACCATCCTCGACCTTCAGTGATTTGTGGCACACCACCTGTCACTCACTCAACTCACCTGCGATCGGACCCTACCCTGGATTCCTGAAGGAGCCCATCCTATAGACTCCTTTGCAGTAATAACCCTGACCCAGGTGACGACGAGACTCCGTCTTCGCTCCTTTCCAAGCCTCCCAGACACTCCATCTGCTACTCTCCGTCACGCACACTATTCAGTAAACTGTGTTCACTTTCTCTGGCTCACATTTGATTTCTAACCTGTGGGAACACAAGGACCCTCTTGACTGGTCCTGTGGGATCCCTCCTCTGGGTCGTCTGACCCAGTCTTCCTGTATCACGGATATTAAAAAAAACATCATGACTAGGGCACTTGGGTGGTTCAGTTGGTTAAGCTTCCGACTCTTGGTTTCCACTCAGGTCAAGATCTGGGGGTCATGGGATTGGGCCAGATTGGGCTCCATGCTCAGAGGGAGTCTGCTTGAGATTCTCTCCCTCTGCCCCTTCCCCCTGGTTTGTGCTTTCTCTCTCTAAAATAAATAAATAAAATCTATTTTAAAATCATGATTGGGTATTGGATTTTGCTAAATTCTTTAAAAAAATTTATTGAGTAACGGTATAGATTCTCTCCTTTATTCTGTTAAAATTGTGAATTATAGGGACACCTGGGATGCTTGGTCTTTGCGGGTCTGCCTTCCGCTCAGGTCATGATCTCAGGGTCCTGGGATCTAGCCCTGTGTTGGCCTCCCTGCTCAGCGGGAAGCCTGCTTCTCCCTCTCCTGCTCCCCTGCTTGCGCTTCCTCTCTCGCTGTGTCTCTCTCTGTCAAATAAATAAATAAAATCACAAAAAATTGTGAATTATATTGATTTTCTTTCTTTCTTCCTTTCATTCTTTTTCTTTCTTTCATATTTTATTTATTTATTTGACAGAGAGAGATCACAAATAGGCAGAGAGGCAGGCAGAGAGAGACAGAAGCAGGCTCCCCGCTGAGCAGGGAGCCCGATGCGGGGCTCGATCCCAGGACCCTGAGACCTGAGCTGAAGGCAGAGGCTTAACCCACTGAGCCCCCCAGGTGCCCTGAAGTATATTGATTTGCAAGTGTTAGTCCAATTTTGCATTACTAGGATAAACTTCAGTTGACCTTAGTAATATTACCTTGTCTATTTATTATTGGGTTGATTTACTAATATTTTGTTAAGGGTTTTTGCATCCATTTTCATGAAGGATATTTGTAATTTTCTTTACTTGTATTTGTCAGGTGCTTGTATCAGAGTTCATAAAACAAATTTGATAAAACAAATTGGGTGCCCATTCCCTACTTTCTTAATAGTTTGTTTAATACTGGTATTATTTCTTCCTTACACATTTGATAGAATTCACCAATGAAACAATTTGGGTTTGACATTTTCTTTGTGGGAAGATTTTTTGATAACGCATTTAATTCATTATATTTTTTCTTTTCTTTTGTATCACTTTTGGTAAGTAATGCCTTTAAAGGAGTTTGTCCATTTCATACAAATTATCAAATGTGTTGGCATAAAGTTGGTCATGTCTTCTATTTAACTTTTTGTAATTTTTTTTTTTTCCATAATCCCTACCCCCAATGTGGGACTTGAATTCACAGGCTTGAACTCACAACCCCAAGACTAAGAGTCCCACGCTTGTCTGACTGAGCCAGCCAGAAACCCCTATTTATCTTTTTAACGTTGGTGTGATCTGGTAAGACGACCCCCTTTGCGTTTCTATTATTGATAGTTTTTTTTACATTTTTTTCTCTTGATAATTCTTGCTAAAAATTTATCAATTCTATTAATTTTTTTGAAGAACCAACTTCTGTCTTTGTTAACTTTTTGTTGTTTTCTAGTTCACTGGCTTAATATTTAACTTAACATTTGTTTAGTTAATATTTCTTTTTTTTTTTAGTTTGGTTTTAATTTGCTTTTATTTTTAATTTTAGCTTCTTAAATTGGAAGTTTCAATCACTGCTTTTGAATTTTTCTCCCGTTCTAACATAAGCATTGAAAACATCAGTTTCTTTCAAAGCTCTGCTTTATCCACATCCCCCAAATTTTAATGTTTTCTAGTCCATTTGGGTTGTAATAAATGGCATGGCTTACAACCAATACACATTTATTTTTTACAGTTCCAGAGGCTGGGAAGGCCAAGATCATGCAAATTCGTATCTGGTGAGGGTTTCTTAGGTCATAGAAGGTCATTTTTTTTTTTTTTGCTGTGTCCTTACATGGTGGAAGGGGTAAGGTGTCTGTGGGGTATCTTTATGAGGGCACTAATTCCATTCACAAGGGTTCTGCTCTAATGATCGAGTCTCCTCCCAAAGGCCCCACTTCTGACCACCACCCTCTTAGGGGTTAAGATTTCAGTGTAAGAATTTTGAGGGGACATGGACTTCAGACTATAGGAGTACATTTTCATTAGCTTCCCATTTTTAAAAACTCTCTGGTTTCTTCCTTTGACCCATGGGTTATTTAGATGTATGCGGTTTCATTTCCAAATATTGGGGGCTTTTCTAGATTTATTTTCTAATTTTATTTATGATCAGAGAACATACGCTTTAAGATTTCAACCTTTGCAATTTATTGTGACTTATATCATGATCCAGCATATGGTCTGTCTTGGTTAGCATTCTGTAATCATAATATGTGTTCTGCACCTGTTTATGATGGGTAATTAGATGATTGGTGTGACAGTGTTGTTTAGATCTCTATCCTTGTGTACGTTTGTCCTGTTTCGTCAGCTACTAAAAGATGACATTTGATGTTACTGGTTGCTTTTGCACTTGGAATTTTTAGTCTGCACTTTGTTAACTGCTACTGTATTGGCCCTTCATCTAGAGACCAGGATACTCACTCATCAATTACAGTACTTTATTTGTAGACTATTTTGGATTATCTGCAAACACAATCACACTATCTGTGAATAATGAATTTTACTTTTTGAGTCTTTACCTTGTCTTTCTTTTACCTTCTTGCATCGGGGTAAGACCACTGTACACAGCTGAATGGAAGTTATGGAGGACACCCTCCTCTTCTTCCTGAATCCAGGTGAAAGCACTCACTCTTTTGCTTTTATTTGTTTTTAACAGATGTCTGATTAAGGTATTCCTTTCTTTTTTATTTCTAGTTTTGTGAGTTTAGTGTGTTGAATTTTATGAAATTTTCTTTTCTGCACCATGTAGATGCTCACATGGTTTTTGTCCTATCATCTGAACTGTGGAAATATTTTTAAATTTTAAACCACCTTTCGTTCCTCGAGTAAACCGCACTTGGTCACGATGTGTAATCATTTTCTCTCCCACTGGATTGTCTGTGCAGAGTCATGCTGGCCTCCTAGCACCGGCTACAAGTATGACACTTTTCTTTCTTTTCTGGAAGAATCTGTGTCACACCGGTATCGTTTTCTTCTTGGAAGGTCGGGAGCATTTACTAGCCAAGCCATCTGGGCCTGGAGTATCCTTTGTCAGGTTCTAAATTATAGAATCAATCCCCTTAACAAATATGGAGGCATGCGGCTTTCCCAAATACTCTTTTGGGAAGAATTTGTCGTGTTTTTCTAGAAATTTTTCCAATTTATGTGATTCGTGAGAATTTTGACATGGTTTCGTATTGTCAGTTTATTTCGTTTAAAAATTTGCGCAACCTGTGTTGGTCCCTTTCTCTCTCGCGTTGAGGATCCGTCCTCCCGCTCCTGTCCCCCCAGGTCAGACGCACAGAAGCGCCCGCAGCCCCGCGCGCCCGCGGAACCCCGCCGCCTCCCGGCCTCACGCACCTTCTCCGGAGCAGCCTCCAGCCCCGCACCCCGAGACTGAGACCCGAGCGGAGATGCAGTCCCGAGCTTCCCTCCCGCCGGCCAGGCGCCCTCCCCTCGGCCCGGCCGGCCCCACCCCCGCACCCCCCCGCAGGCGGGTAGGCACGACCTTGACTCCCCGACGACAGGGCGGGCCCCTCGCCGACCCCGAGGCCGCCACACACTCGGGGCCCTGAGGTCCCCCAACCTCCGTTTCAGTCTCAGACTCGCCCCCGGTGACGTAGCTTCACCGTCCGTCCGTCCGTCCGGTGAGGGGACGCGGCGGATCCCCCCCGCGCATACCGGATTACTGCGGGAAAGCAGCCGAAACAGGGTCCCGCTCCAAAACCTGCCTCTTCCTCCACTCACAGTGGGTCTGTGCTCCCCAGGCCAGCACCGGTCCCGAGCCCCCCTCACCTCCCCACCCCCCAGGTCAGGCCCAGGACCCCTGGGGACCCCACCTCCCGCCCATCACAACACACTGGTAGGCGTTCTGCGAGCGCCGCGGCGGGAAGCGGAACTCGAAAGTGCGCCTGCGCGGGGCCGTCGTCCCCGCCCGGAGCCTCCTCCCAAACCGGACTGAGCGGTCGCGCCTGCGTGCGGCGGAAGGCGGTGGCTCCATTCTCCCGAGGGACGGGTACGGACTGCGCAGGCGTGGGGAGCAGAGCCCAGGGAGGGGCTCCGTCAGCGGCCGGCCTGCGCGCATTGCGCCTGCGCGAGCCGAGGGCGGCGGCTGGGGCTGCTGGCAGGCGCCGTCCGCCCCTCCGCTGTGGACGCAGAGCTCGGCTGAGAGAGGCGGCTGAGGTAGGTTTCCCGTGGGCAGCTCGGGCGGCTGGACCGCACCGAGGCAGGACGTGCCCAGCGAGTCCTTTCCGGGCGCGTGCGTCAGCGGGTCGACCGAAGCCGCAGCCCCCTCGAAGACCCCCAACCTTCCCGGCTGTGTGCGGGGCGCTCCCGCGGCTGACCGCAGGCTGGGCAACCGCAGGGCCACGCCCCTTCCTCCGAGCCACGCCCACCGCCCGGCTCCCCCCCCCCTTTCCCCGGGCCACGCCCTGCGGCGCCGCGCCCCTTTCCCCAGCCGCGCCTCCCCGAGCCGCGCCCACCTGCCTTCCGGCGGCGCGGGCCCGGGAGCCGCGTCCCGCTGGTCCTCCCCGCGCGGGGTGCTCCCGCGCCGAACCCCCGCCCCCCTCGCCGCCTCTCCCCACCGCACCCACTGCCGCTGGCCACTAGTCCCTGGCATCCCAGGGCCTCTGCCCCCACCGCCCGCTCGGCTGACCTGGCCCTGCCCGGTCCCCCAGGCCCTGCGGGGTCAGCGGGTCCAGCAGCCCCGCCCCGGCGGCCGTCCCTCCCGGGCCCCAGCCAGGCTTCGCCGGGGAGGAGGGCGCTCGTGCCGCGAGAAAACCAGCGCTGCGGGGTGTCGGACCGGCGCCGGCGGGTGCGCCGGAGCGCGGAGCCACGGTCCGGACAAGGGCGTGCGGCCGCGCTGCGGCGGGGCCCCAGGCAGCGCTCGCTTCCGCGGTTAGGGTTAGGGAAGAGGCGAACCCGCAAGACCTGCCCCTCGCGTAGCGCCCCTCGCTGGCCTCGCAGCTCCGGTCCGAGCGGGGGCCCGCCCGCCCGGTGTTGCGCGGACGGACGTCGCGGAGGACGTCCCGAGTCTCGGCCGGCGACGCGCGCGAGTTAGACCCAGACTTGTCGTGTGGGGAGAAGCGTTCGTGCGGGGGCCCCGCGGTCGCTGCGAGACAGGAGGACGGGCAGCGAGGAGGGAGACCCTCTGCGAGGTGTGCGTCGTGGCTCCTGTTAGTGCAAGCACTTGGAGGTCCCCGTGGATGACCTTGAAAATAAAACAGCCGGTTTTTTACCAGCAAAACGGGTTTATTCGGAAATGACAGGAATTGCAGTTTCACACGTGCAGAACTAAAGGCAGGTCTGGCTAAGGTAGGAGAGGAGGGTGGGAGGAGCTGCTTTGAGGGAAATCCGTTGGAGGAAAGTGAGTGTGGGGTGGTGACAGCCTGCTGCTGGCCGGGCTGTGACAGCGCCACAGTCTCCTGTTGGTCGGGTGGTGACACTGTAACAGTCTCCCATTGGCTGGGCTCTGACACTGTGACAACCTCCCACTGGCCAGGCATTGACACTGTGACAGTCTCCTGTTGGCGGGGCGGTGACACTGTAACAGTCTCCCATTGGCTGGGCTCTGACACTGTGACAGCCACTGGCCAGGCATTGACACTGTGACAGTCTCCTGTTGCCCAGGCGGTGTAACAGTATTCCATTGGCTGGGCTCTGACACCGTGACAGTCTCCCATTGGCCAGGCATTGACACCGTGATAGCCTCCTGTTGGCCGGGCAGTGACACTGTAACAGTCTCCCATTGGCTGGGCTCTGACACTGTGACAGCCTCCCACTGGCCAAGCGTTGACACTGTGACAGTCTCCTGTTGGCCAGGCGGTGACACTGTAACAGTCTCCCATTGGCTGGGCTCTGACACCATGACAGTCTCCCATTGGCCAGGCATTGACACCGTGACAGCCTCCCACTGTCCAGGCTGTGACACTGTGATGGTCTGCTGGCTGAGCTGTGACAATCTCTCACTGGCTGGGCTGTGACACTGTGACAGTCTCCCATTGGCTGGGCTGTGACATTGCGACAGTCTCCCATTGGCCGGACTCTGACAGCTCCCACTGGCTGGGCTGTATCACTGTGACAGTATCCTATTGGCTGGGCTGTGACACTGTGCCAGTCTCCCATTGGCCGGGCTCTGACAGCTCCCACTGGCTGGGCTGTGTCACTGTGACAGTCTCCCATTGGCTGGGCTGTGTCACTGTGACAGTCTCCCGTTGGCTGGGCTGTTGCCTGGGTAGGAGATCTTCCTCCTGCTGTGGTGGTTAAAATGAGTGCTCTCCTGTTGGTCTAGGAGTGTGTGGGGTTAGAACTCCCTGTGCTGGTCCTAACTCCATCTCAAATGAGGGTTCCTTTATTTTCACAGTAGGGAGTTTTAATTGAGGTTCTAGAAAAGATTTGACATTGATTTGTTGTTTTAAATCAACCCAGTAATCTAAAGAAAGCTCACAGTGTTCATTCAGTAGGTAAGATCAGCACCTTTGCAGACTAGTGAAGAAAGCATACTCTTAGAAGTTCATAAATTTTAAATGCTTCCCGTTTCTGTAAAGAATTATGTTTAAAAATTTTAATCTCTATTTCATTCTTTCGACACTGTTTTGCTTCCGTTTGGTATAGGACCTTTACTGCGGTCTTTACCAGAACCTTAGAAGTGAAGCAGATATAACGAAGTGTTCTCTTATTGTCTCTCTTTTTAAAAGTAGAAATGGAGGGGAAAATGGAGTATTAAACGTGGCAGCGATGCGGCAGACCCTAGGAGAACCATGGCCACATCCGGTGACTGCCTCCAAGGTGAACTGCAGGTAATGTCGGTTCTGGTGTGTAAGGACCACGGATACTGCAGAGAGCACGGCTCAGCCACTAGCCGGGGGCCACGTGGTTGGAAGAGATGCAGTCTTTGTCAGGGTTACATGTGACATTCTGAATTGTGCCGTGTGCCTCTCGCCGCGACTGTACCTTTGGTACCTGTGCTGTGAAGCACGCACACTGTTCTAGTTGTTTGGTAAGGTCCCAGGCATAATATCTTAAAAGCAGGCTGGACACTTTAGAATGATTTATTTATTCATATCTTTTTCTGCCTGGGACGTATGTCTAGTTTCATTTAAGCTATTAGTTAAAAAAAAAATTACCCTAAATTTCAAGGAATGTTGAATATATAAAATTACAAACCAGATGAATACTCTAACAAATAATGCTTTTTAAAAAATCAAATATTTTCATAGCCATGATGTCCGTTTTGACATTTTTTTCTCTATCCTTCCAGTGGTTGGTATAATTTCATTTTGGTTTTTATATATAGGAATTTGATCATAGTTGTGTCATTTCATTAATTTGTTTCTTTTTTTTAAAGATTTTATTTATGTATTTGACAGAGAGACAGACAGCAAGACAGGGAACACAAGCAGGGGGAGTGGGAGAGGAAGAAGCAGGCTCCCCACGGAGCAGGAACTACCCCGCCCCCCCCCACGGGACTTTGCCGCTTCCAGTCGGTGACAGGAGAAGAATTAGGCACAAACAGGTCAGCTACAGGAGATTGGGAGCAGGGGACAACAGTCGAAAAGACGGCTGCTCCAAGCCACTCCACAGTCTCACTTTTATTAGATAGAAACAAAAGCCAACAGAAGGACCGATGAAGGTCAAACGTGAGTTAGTCACATGTCTTGTGGACAAACAAGACGGAGGATCAAGTTTGCAGTTAACCAAGCACATTCAAAGGACTCATCTAACTAACAAGGGGCGCGTCTGGGAAGAGAAAAGAGCGATAATGGAAAAGGGAAGCAGGCGGGTTTCGTTCCACCCTGAGCCGACCGGGCGTTCCCGGCCGCCCCGCTTCACGGTCCTATATATCGTCCTTCTCCCCAAAGACCTGTTGCCAGTGTGTTTTTCCTAAGGCATATCTAAACGTGCTTGTTACCTAGTAACATCCTCCAGGGGTTATAGTTTAAGTAACACATTGTCCCGAGGGGCAGTAGCAGGACTTGATCCCAGGGTCCTGAGCTGAAGGCAGACGCTTAAGGACTGAGCCACCCAGGCACCCCTCATTAATCTGTTTCTGAAAATTAATCATAAAACTTAAATTCTGTGGATGCACTCTTGTTCTTTTGAGAGATTTAGAAAATATTAGAACATTTACAAAATAATATTGTAAACATCACGTTCATAGCGCAGAGAAGTGACAACTTGTTAACATTTTGTTGTGAATGTCTGTGTAGACTTAGATGTACGTAATCTGAAGGAAAGGTAGGTAAAGCTTGTTCCCTAACCCCAGCCCCATTCCTCTTCCTCTGTTTCCTCAGGCAAATACTCCTGTGAATTATGAATTGATCTTTGTGCTTCTGCACCACTTTTTATGCTTTTGTACCTAATATAGGCATCTTTGAACAGTACGTGATGCTGTTTGTGCACTTTTTTAGAATTTGTCTGAGTGGAGTCATGCTCTGTGTCACCTGCAACTTGCCTTTTCCCAATGTTACTTTGGGGGTTTGCCCTTGATGTGTGTGTAGAGCTAATTTAGCCCTATGAGACGCTTCTGTAGTGTGCCCCTGTGTGACCCTCACATGCCGCGGTGTCCCCCACCCCATGTAACTGTCATGTCCCTCAAAGTGCCCCCACGTGTGACCATCACGTTCGTGGATCGAACCCCCCCCATGTGACTGTCGCGTTCTGTGGATTACACCCCTCCCCCGCCATGTGACTGTCGCGTTCTGTAGATCTGTGTGACACGTTCTGTGGAACGTGTGACTGTCATGTTGTGTGAATCGCCCCCCATGTGACTGTCATGCTCCCCCGCCCTGTGACTGCCACATTCTGTGGATCACCTCCCCCCCCGCCCGTGTGATTGTCACGTTCTGTGGATCCCTTCCCCCCCGTGTGAGTGTCACGTTCGGTGAATCGCCCCCTGTGTGACTGTCACCCTTGTGTGCAGGTCTGTGGCAGTCTTACTAGTGTACGGTTAGGGTTAGGTTTAGGGTTAGGGTTAGAGTTTTAACAGTTTTATCTTTTCAAAGAACTGGTTTTGTCTTTGACTTTCTCTTTGTTCATCTGCTTTCTTTTTTATTGATTTCTGCTTTTATCTTTATTTGTTTCATCCTTTGGGTTTAATTTTCTCTTTTTGTAGCATCTTGCGATGGAAATTTGCAACACTGACTTGAACCTTTCTTCTCTAGTACATGTGTTTAAAGCTGTGACTTTTCCTCTGACCCTCAGTTTTCTTGCCTCACACACTTAACTATGTTGTATTTTTATTTTTGATCAGTTAAAATACTTTATAATATGTCGCAGTGGAAATCAGTTTCTGGGCTATTCAGAAGTGTGCTATTTCTGGAGATTTAGGGATTTTTATTTATCTCTTTGTTATTTAATTTTGGTTTGCTTATGTTTGGTCAGAAAATATACTCTGTAAAATTTCAGTCTTTGGAAATTTATTTAGGCCTGCTTTGTGGCGTAGTCAGGTGGGCTGTTGTGGTGAACGCCCCACACGTGTCCACAAAGAATCTGTTTTCTGCAGTTGGTGGTTTTCTGTAAATGTCATTAAGGTCAAATGTGTTACTAGTATTGTTCAAACATTTGTGTCCTTTCTGCTTTATTGCCCATTTGTTGTGTAGTTACTGAGCAGGATGAGCTTCAGAAATTCCCGCTATGGCTGTGCCTGGTTGCTTGTGAGTTAAGTGTCTGACTCATGGTTTTGGCTCTGGTCATGATCTCAGGGTCGTGGGGTCAAGGCCCCCCCCCCCCAGACTCTGTTTCTCTCCCTCTGCGTCTCCCCGCACTTGCTCAGACACCTGCTCTCTCTGTCTCTAAAAGAAGTAAATAAATTTTTAAAGAAATTTCCACTATGATTGTGGGGTTGTCTTTTTTTTTTTTTTTAACTTCCTTTTGAATCTGTCACTATTTGCTTCACGTATTTTGAATCTGTTACTTGACACATACATTCAGGATAGTTTTTACTTTCTAAACTAATTTAGTTTAAACTAAACTAATTTATGAAATCTTTTTTTTTACCTAGTACCTTTTTTTTGTCTTCTGTCTCTTTTGTCTTATATTAATACGGGTGTACCAGCTTTCATGGTACACATACACCTATATGTTGAATCAAAGACCTTATATTTAAAATGTTTCTCTTGTACAGAGCCTGTGGAAATGTCCTTTTCTTCCCTGTCGGTAATCTCTGCTCTTTAATTGGAGTGTTTAGTCCATTAACATTGAACATGGTGACTGATGTGGTTGAGTTGGCCATCTTGCTGTTTTCCCTTTCTTCTTGGTACCTTTCTCCAGTGTTACCTCTGTTTGGATTAATGAAATACTGCTAATAATGCCACATTGTCTCCTCTGTTGGCTTTTCACCTGTATCTTTTACTAACATTTTAGTGGTTACCAAGAAACTGTGATGCGCATCTTTAACCCACTCCAGTGCTGTTTGTGTCCGACTGCTTCACAGCGTAAGATGCCTCCACATTAGCTCTACTTACTCACCCCCAGTTTTGCACAGTTTGTGCTCTTGTAACATCTGTCATAAACCCCACAATAAATAATTAGTGTCTCCTTATACTATTAAAATTCTTTCTTACGGAGTATAAGAAATAGTCTTGTTTCCCCACATATTTGCTTTTTCTGGCGTCTCTACACCTGTTGCTCTGGCAAAAATTAAAGACCACGATAGCACGCGTTGCTGTGAATAGTCACTGGAGGGTGCTGTCCACTTCGCTGGAGAAGTGTGGGCGCCGCACCCTGTATGGAAGAGTCTCGCAAATGCGTGAATGAAAAGCTTATGGTCCAGCCCCGGTCATCTGTCTCCTAGAAATAAAATGTCACACGAGGGTAAATGTGTATGAATGTTGTGGCCGCACTGTGGTAGAGAACTGGACACCAGGAGAACGTCCATTAGTCAAGGATGACTGAGGAATCAGGAAGAATTCCTACTGCAGAATATTATACAGTTGTTGAAATTTATAAGTTACGGTTCTAAGAATTGGGAACTTTCTCACAAGGTATTATGTTAGTAAAAAAGGCAAAATAAAAAAAGTGTTTGTCACATCCTTCTCAAAAAACTGTCAAAAGAACAACTGTGTGTGTGTGTGTGTGTGTGTGTGCGCATGTAAACACACAGCATCTTTTTTTTTTTAAATTTTTTAAAATTTTTTTTTATTTTTTATGAATATAAACATATAATATATTTTTATCCCCAGGGGTACAGGTCTGTGAATCGCCAGGTTTACACACTTCACAGCACTCACCATAGCACATACCCTCCCCAATGTCCATAACCCCACCCCCCTTCTCTCAACCCCCCTCCCCCCAGCAACCCTCAGTTTGTTTTGGGAGATTAAGAGTCACTTATGGTTTGTGTCCCTCCCAATCCCATCTTGTTTCATTTATTCTTCTCCTACCCCCTTAACCCCCCATGTTGCACATCTCCACTTCCTCATATCAGGGAGATCGTATGATAGTTGTCTTTCTCCGGTTGACTTACTTCACTAAGCATAATACCCTCTAGTTCCATCCACATCATCACAAATGGCAAGATTTCATTTCTTTGATGGCTGCATAGTATTCCATTAACACATGGCATCTTAATCTGCCATTTCCCATTCAGAAATTCGTCCTAAGAAAATTGTCATGACAGACAAAATGATATTTGTTTAAGAAAGTTCGTCTTAGGGGCCTAGGTGGCTCAGTGGGTTAAGCCTCTGCCTTCGGCTCAGGTCACGATCTCAGGGTCCTGGGATTGAGCCCCGCATCGGGCTCTCTGCTCAGCAGGGAGCCTGCTTCCTCCTCCCTCTCTGCCTGCCTCTCTGCCTACTTGTGATCTCTCTGTCAAATAAGTAAATAAAAATCTTAAAAAAAAAAAAGTTCATCCTAACATAATTTGTAATAGTATAAACTGGAAATAGTTTAAGGGTACCAAACTAGGAAATCGGTTAAATAAGTTATGATAATTCACAGAATATTACCAAAAGTTAGGAAGTGGTATTTAGAAATAATTTAACAAGGAGGAAAAATGTTAAGAATATAATAAGTGAGTGTTACACGCAACTAATGAATCATTGGATGCTACATCGAAAACTAATAATGTACTATATGTTGGCAAATTGAACTTAATAAAAAAAGAATTTAGTAAGTGGGACACATACCACAAGGCAGAATTTCCTGATCCCAGTAAACACCCTGTATGCACATGCTGTGTGTACGCTTAAAAAGAGGCCTGGGGGTGCCTCGGTGGCTCAGTTGAATGTCCGACTCTTGGTTTCGGCTCAGGCCATGATCTCAGGGTCATGAGATCGAGCCCTGTGTCAGGCTTGTGCTCAGCAGGGAATTGGCTTGAAATTCTCTCTCTCCCTCTCCGGCCCCTCTCCCCCACAGGAGTGCTCTTTCTCACTCTCCAAAAAATACAGCCCGAGGGATGCCTGGGTGACTCAGTTAAGTGTTTGCCTTTGGCTCAGGTCATGATTCCAGCTTCCTGGGACAGAGTCCTGTGTTGGGCTCCTTGCTCAGTGGGGGGTCTGCTTCCCCTCTGCCTGCTCTCCCGCCCCTCTTCCTGCTTGTACTCTCTCTCTCTGACAGTAAATAAAGAAAATCTTGGGAAAAAAAAGGCTGAAAAAAATATATGTTAACTTGTTAAGCATCATTATTTCTGACCAGTGGGTGAGATTACAGATGGTTTTAATTTTCCTCTGTGTACACATGTGCCTCACACATTTTCCAAAGAACATGAATTACGTGTGTGTTTAGGAAACTTCGTTAAAAATGTGTATATTGGGACGGAGTTGCCGCATTGAACTGGAACACGGGCTTAGAGGTTCTGCCGCCTCCAGTGGACGTCTTCCAGACAAGCCTCTTCTGACAGAAAGTAGAGACTGGGCAGTGTGTGTTCTCAGGCTCCCCTTTTGGGTCCTGAGCAGTCTGTATGAGCAGCCTTGTGGTCCAAGTCAGGCCACGAGGGTCGGGCCTGGTCACTGGCACCTTCCAGAAGCCTGCCCAGTTCTGTCCTCCAGTCTGACGAGGTCCTGAGAGCATGAGGCCCAGAAACAGGCCTTCTTTCTCTCGGGGTGAGTCGCAGCTTTCAGAAGGAGTTGCTGGTGATCAGCATCCGTCACCAAGTAGACACTAAAAGTGCATCTTTCTTACTTATTTGATGTTCTTCTTAGGATGCAGGTAATTTTGTCCTAGAGACAAAAAGGAGAGGTGGAGTGAGGGTGAGATCCCTCGATCCTGCTGGTGAAGATGACCCAGATTGTGGGTTAAACCTGGTCACGTGGATCGTCATTTGGAACCTTCCTGATAACCAAAGGCTACAGGTTATTGGGCCGGACACAGAGAGGAGCCCCGTAGTCATCCCGTCTTCTTCCCTTGGCTTTGAGCAGGAGGGAGAAGGTCGTGTGGAGTGTGGTGACCAGGAGCAGCTCCAGGAGGGTGCGCAGCCCGAAGAGTTCGTGGCCATTGCAGACTATTCTGCCCCTGACCGGACGCAGGTAGCCCCACACACCGGTTACACGCAGGGGCCTCGCGCCTTGGGTCCAGGCTTTATGGATTTGGCTCAATGGCGTGCTAGATGACAGAATTAGATAAGAATTTTGAAGAAGTCGTACCGAAGTTAAGAAGTGTTCACATGTTTAGAGCCACATGAGACCTGTGAGTGACCCTTCTCCTCCTAGCCTAACAGATTCCGATGCCAAGCCTTCGGTGAAAGATATCTGGGTGAGGGATGGGGGAAGGAAGCACCTGTTGCAGTTTCTTTTTAGAAACCTTGATTTAGAACCTATTCTAGTTAATGAAAATTAAGGCTGTAAAATAAAAATACTGACTTGAGGATGGTGGCTCAGATGGTGAAGCATCCACCTCTTGATTTCAGCTCGGGTCATGATCTCAGGGTTGTGAGGTCAAGTTCAGCATTGGGCTCCATGCTCAGTGCTCAGCGGGGAGTCTGCTGTAGGTCCTCTCTCCTACTCCCTTTGGCCTTCCTCCCACTCCCCCCCCCTCAAATAAATAAATCTTTAAAAAAGATACTGATATACTGAGTGTAGCTTTTTCTACTCCAGTAAGTGAATCAGCTGCCACATAGCTGAGTTACAGCGAAGAGGCGATCGAGAAATTGTCTTAAGTTGTTCAAAAATGTTTAATCTTTCCTTTAAAAAATATCAGTTAAGCTGTGCTTTCTTTCATGTAGGTGTTCCACAAAAGTCTCTAAATGTTGGTATCATTTTCAGAAATTGTGAGTTTGTGTAATTACCCATTGAGTCTTTTTTGAAATAGCTGATTTGGGCCCCAATGATGGGGGACTTATCACTGAGCCACTACTGAAATACCAACTACAGGTTTTTCTTGAATTTTGACTTCTTTGTATGTTTTTTTCCAGCTCAGCTTTTTGAGAGGAGAAAAAATTCTCATCCTGAGGCAGACAACTGCTGATTGGTGGTGGGGCGAGCGTGCAGGCTGCTGTGGGTACATACCTGCAAACCACCTCGGGAAGCACCTGGAGGATTGTGACCCTGAGGACACATGGCAGGATGAGGAGTACTTCGGCAGCTATGGAACGCTGGTACGGCTGGGGCCACGGAGGCGGCGGTTTCCTGCCTCAGCTTTCCAGTTAGCTTCAGCTGGGCTGCTCCTCTTTGTGGCTTAGCGCAGGGTTTGCAGACATTTTCTTTGGCTCAGCAGGCCGTGTGGCTCCTCGGCTCTGCTGTCGGGGTGCGTGAGTGGCCGTAAGACCATGAGGAAATGAGCATGGCATGTTCTTTGGATTTTTAAAAAACCAATTAAAAAATGTGAAAGCCATTCTTAGCTGGCAGACCCTAAGGAAGCAGATGGTGGGCTGGAGTGGCCCATGGTGGTTTAGAGATGTTATCTGAGCAATGAGATGATGAACTTTTCTCAGCATTTAAAAAATAGTAACACATTTTATTTTAAAAATAAAATACAAAAATGTTACACAAGCCAACAATAATACCTCTAAATAAATGGCTTACTCGTTTTTTGGAGTTTTTTCCCAGTTAGGATAGAGACCCATAACTGTATGGTCCAGACAGCCCCTGTTTATATCTTAAAGCTAGACAAAAACTGATGCGTGCAGAATAAACATCGCAGACAGAACGTTGGGTGAAAGGAGCAAGACATCTAAGAATAACTCTAGATTCAGTTACATAAAGTTAAAAAGCAGCGTTCAAAGATGTTTATGAAGGGAAGTGACCAGGGAGCTGGCTCCTCTGGGAGTCAGGATGGTGGTTCCTGTTGCCAGGGCGTCTGTGGTGGTGGCAGCCTTAAAAAATAACTGTCATCCAGCAAAGCGGGCTCATTCGAGGAGCGGAGGGACTGCAGTGCAGGCCAAGCGCCCCGTGGGGCACTGCAGGCCAGTCTGGAGAACCAAGGCCAGGAGGCTTTTCATAAGGAAAGGGGAGTGGGCGGGGCTGTGTGGAACCAAAGCCCTTTGGAGGGCGGTGGCGGCTTTTCATTGGCTGAGTGTGGCAGTTTCTCATTGGCTGGACTGTTGCTAGGCCAGGAGAAAATCTTCCTCCTGCGGAGGTAGTAAAGTAGGCTTCTTCCTTTGGAGTCTGCCGCGGTGGAGGGGTAGTGCTGAGCCGGCCCAGCCCTTGCGGCGTCCCTCTCCGCGCTCAGTGCGGTTTGCTTTCCTGGCTTTCCTGGCTGCAGGGCTGGGCTGGGAAGGTGTGGGGTGCGGGCAGCGTTGTGCTGTTGCTTGCACGAGTGTTTGCTGTGTAACTATATCGACAAGCTGTGAGGCACTTTCTCATGTACTTTTTTGGTAGGTATGTCCCATTTCGTGGTTAAACATGTTACAATAAATGAAAACCCCTTGATGTATGTGTACGATTAGAGTTTTCCAACTTTTTTCCTGAAAGATTTTACTTATTTATTTATTTGTCTGGAAGAGAGAGAGCGCACAAGCAGGGGGAGCAGCGGGCAGAGGAAGAAGCAGACTCCCTGCTGAGCAGGGAGCCTGATGTGGGACTCGATCCCAGGACCCTGGGGTCATGATCCGAGCTGAAGGCAGATGCCTAACTGAGCCACTCAGGTGTCCATAGAGCTTTCAGACTATTAAGAGTGTTTTATTGATTTTAAAAGGACCCTCTTGGTGGTTTGCTTGTTTAAAAGCTTTGCCCTATGACAAGCAGTGCTGTAATGGGTTTTCTCTTATAGAAATCTTGCTAAACTTCTGCTAGAATTTCTCTTGGGTAAATTTGTAGGGTGTATGTGTTTTTTCACTTTGGCGGGTCTTGCCAATTTGCCCTCCGGAAAGATTGGCAACTGTACGCCACCAGTGTACATGAATGCTCGTTTCACAACCACACATTGCTAAAGTAAATACAGATCTCTCATCTTATGGTATTTCTTGATTGTGATTTCCATTTTTAAAGTCAGATAGGTCATCTTCTATATTTTGTTGGCCTTTTCTATTTCTTCTTTTTTTGGTAAACTTTCATATAATTTGCTCATTTTTCTTTTTATTTTTGTCAACTTATACGTACACCTTAGCATCCTAGTTCTGACTTTCTGTCAAGGTGGACTACTCAGGTGGGATGGCTGAGTCCTGATTGTGTCCTCTCTGACCCTCAGTCTTTTGTTTCTCAGCGCTGAGTGTCTTTGTGAAGAGCCACGATGGGCTCGTGAAGGCCCTGTGCAGACTTCCTATCTGTGCTGACGAGGTCTGGGTAGCTTCAGTGTCTGCCTCACAGCCGTACTGTGTGTATGGTGGGTGTTCTGCAGCTTGAGACCTGAGAAGTGGGGTGTGGGGGCCAGTGTTGTGGGTGCAGCCTTTCTGGGCTCTGACTTCCACCCGTGGCTTCATGAACCATTTGGAGGAGCCTTTCTCTTTTTCTCTGGGGATTGGCATGATTCCCATGGGGTGTTACGTTGTCTTGGGTTTCATGTGTTTTCCTCCCTCTGGACATGGCTGGAAACCTTGAGCTCACCCCTGTGGGGTCATCAGCTCCCTCCAGAGCTGTAGTTTCATGAGGGGCCAGTGTGCCGCCTCTGGCATCTCTCTTGGTGGATACTTGGCCAAGTGGTACCTGATGGGGAATTTGGTGGTTCCTCCTGTCTCCAGTGGGAACAGTGGTCAGGAGGGCAGTGTCTGCTCCACTTCCTGAGTGGTCCACCCGCCTGTGTGCTCATCTGGCTCTTGGGGAGGTACAGGGTGAAGCCGTAGGTAGCATCACACTGAACTGGAAGGATTCCAGAAAATTCCATTTCATTTCTTCACTGTTGTGTTTTTATATGCCAGCATATTTAGGTCTTTGGATTTTGTGTTTTTTTTTCTTTGTTGCTCATATTTTTAGGCATGGTGTGGTGGGGCCAAGGGGATTATTAGCTCAGTCTCTGATCTTCCTTCTTAAACCAGAGCTCAGCATAGTTCATATTACAGGCAGTGATTCCTAATGTGTATTTCCTCTAGAAACTTCACTTGGAAATGTTGGCAGACCAGCCACGGACAACTAAATACCACAATGTTATCCTGCAAAATAAAGAATCTCTGAAAGATAAAGTGATTCTGGACGTCGGCTGCGGAACAGGGATCATCAGCCTCTTTTGTGCCCACTACGCGCAGCCTAAAGCCGTGAGTAAGAAACAGCTCTCCTTCAGCAGCTTCGAGCTGAGCCTGGGGACGTGTCATCCGCATGCAAAGGCATCATGTTGGTGAAATGGGCAATGTGTTCTTGAGGGCTGAGCCTGTCGGCGGTCGTGACCTCGGCCTGCTGAGTCACCAGCAGCACGGAGTAGAGTAGGGCAGAGCAGAAAATACCGGAGTTGCGTGTGGTCGGATGTTTTCTGTAACATGCTTATCAGCTAGAGGAACACGTGTCGTGTGCCGGGACTGGGCCACTTGTGTAGGTCACTGTCCATGTGTTACCCCTGCACCGAGCGAGGACCGCCTGGCAGGGACAGGACAGAACGCCCTCCGTGACGCATGCTGGGGTCCTTTCTCTTCTTCCCTGCAAAGCATGTGTGAGGCTCCGGAGTTGAAGCCTCTGAAATGCCCCTGACACAGTTGGGTGAAATTCTGGTTTACGAGGGAAACTGCAGGACAGTGATCACTGGAGTTCAGATGCTATCAGAACCAAGACGTAACACTCCGGACCTTCCAGTGACAACCTGAGCTTGAAGCGGTCTCAGCCACTGGTACCCTTAAAGTCCGATCGTTCTCAGGCCGCTGTGGGAAACTCTGGGGTATGTGGCTGTGTGTATGGGAGCTGAGCCACCGGGTCTGACCCAGAGGGCCTCCGCGACGGTGTGCATGCAGACTCCTCTGTCCACCGGCTGTCCCCCATCTGTTTTAGGCAGACGGTGGAGTTAAGATGGGAGGTGGCTCCCTTGTCAGGGCTCCGTGTGTTGGAGGTCTGCCCCTGCTATCCAGCACGCTCCCTTCCTTCTGTCGCTGTTTTCTTTGAGGCTGCCTCTGGCTTGGCTGGAGCCGGGGGCCCAGGGAGAGTGGATGCCAGGCTGCTCTGTGGGTGGGACTCTTGCTGATGCCTTTCTGTGACATGCAGGTGTACGCGGTGGAGGCCAGTGAGATGGCCCAGCACACAGGGCAGCTGGTCATGCAGAATGGCTTTGCCGACATCATCACTGTGTTCCAGCAGAAGGTGGAGGATGTGGTGCTGCCGGAGAAGGTGGACGTGCTGGTGTCCGAGTGGATGGGGACCTGCCTGCTGGTAAGGGGCACTGGGCCACGTGGGATGGCCGCTGGGCCACGTGGGATGGCCGCTGGGCCACGTGGGATGGCCGCTGGGCCACGTGGGATGGCCGTGGATTGTGCCAGGGAAGTGCAGATTCCAGGGAGGGGTGTGGACTGTGTCTGGAGGGGCTGGTGTGAGCAGAACATCTTGGGGAGAGCCGTGGCTGTCGTGCTGAATGAAACCACCTGGTGCTTGTCCGGGTGCTGTCTTCTGTTTTGTGCCGGACGGCCATGAGCCACAACACCCTGCCGTCCGTGATGTGGGCGGACCTTGAAGGCATTATGCTAAGTGAAGTAAGTCAGACAGAGACACATCATATGGTCTCATTTATATGTGGAATCTAAAACCAGCAACACAAAACTCACCCACCAGCCTCCTAGAAAAAGAGATCAAATTTGTGGTTAGTGGAGGGAGGGAGGGTGAGGGGAGAAAGAATTGTTGGAGGGCTGTGGTTGAAAGGTACAGACTTTCAGGTACCACGCAGGTAAGCACCGGGGCCGTCACATACAGTGTGGCAACCCCAGTGACGCTGCTGGGTGATGCATGGGGCAGTCTTACCAGAGGACCATCGACCCTCGAACAACGTGGGTTTGAACCATGTGGGCTCTCTTATACATGGGATTTTTTTTTTGATAAATATAGGACAGTGCTTTATGATTTTAACATTTTCTTTTCTCTAGCTTACTTTGTCAGAACGCAGTACACAATACAAATTACGTAAAATGCCTGTGACTGTTGATGTTCCTGTTAAGGCTTCAGGTCAGCATAGCCTATTAGTAATCAAGTTTTCGGGGAGTCAAAGGTTCTGTGTGGATTTTTGACTACGTGGGGTGTCAGTGTTAATCCCTGCTTGTCCCAAGGTCAGCCATAGATCTAAGGGTTGTTGTTTTTTTTTTTTAAACTTTTATTATATTTTTTAAAGATTTTATTTATTTATTTGACAGACGGAGATCACAAGTAGGCAGAGAGACAGGCAGAGAGAGGGGGAAGCAGGCCTCCTGCTGAGCAGAGAGCCCGATACGGGGGCTCGATCCCAGGAGATCTAAGAGTTTTTATCACAAGGCGAAGTTTTTCTATCTTTTCAATGTGTCCGTAGGAGGTGATAGATAACCCTATTGTGGTAATCGTTTAACAATATATGTAAACCAAATCACCAGGCTGTACACCTTCAACTTGTAATAATTTTAGGAATTAAAAAAAAAAGCACAAAAAAGCATGTACAGCATGAGTCCAGTTTTGTTTTTAAAAATCATACATACTGGCGCCCTCGGTTAAGTGTCTGACTCGGTTTGGGCTCGTGTTGTGATCTCAGGGTTGCGAGACTGAGCCCTGCACTGGTCTCCCTGCTGAGCGTGGAGTCTGCCCGAGACTCTCTCCCTCTCTGCCCCTGTGTCCTGTGCATTCAGGCTCTCTGTCTCTCCAGTGCATAAATTAAAAAGAAAATCATACGTAGCAATGACCTTGCTTTAGTTCCCGGTAAGATGGAGTAAAGCACACCCCACCCTGTCTCTCCCACGTAATGCAGCTTTCGATCCAAGACAGGGCTCAGGGGAACGCTGTTGGAGGACTTTGAAAGGCGTATAGGAGCAGGAAGGTTGGGAAGGAAGACCAGGGTTTGAAGTACACTGAGCTGGTCTTTAGTTCATTGTTATTCTTCCTCTGGCTCTCTCCCCCCATACACAGCTTCAGAAATTTAGATGAAAACATCCATTCTGAAAACTGCAACCTTCCACACTAACACACAATGAAGTAGATAACCTGAATAATGAAATAACTAGTAAGATATTGAACTTAGAGTTGAAAACCTTCTGAAGAGAAATCTGTAGGCCTAAATTATTTCACTGGTGAAATGTATGAAGACATTCTAGGAAAGAAAAACACCAGATCTGAACAATGTCTTTCAGAAAATGGAAGAGGACAGACTTCCCAGCTCACTTGGTGAGACGTGCATGACCTGAATACCAAACCCTAACCAAAAACCAAACCCAGTAACTCCTGTTCGTAAATACAGAAGTCCTCAGGAGTACTAGCAAGTGTATCCCTGCAGTACACAAAAGGAATAACATTCTAACAGAGAAGAGGTTATCTTTGGAATTGAAGGCTGGTTCAGTATTTAAAGATGAATCTGTGTGGGATGCCTGGGTAGTGGCTCAGTCGTTGGGCATCTGGCTTCGGCTCGGGTCATGATCCTAGGGTCCCGGGATGGGGCTCCCTGCCCAGCGGGAGGCCTGCTTCTCTCTCTCCCACTCCCCTGCTTGTGTCCCCTCTCTCGCTGTCTCTCTCTCTCTGTCATATTAAAAGAAAAAATCTGTGTAATCTATATTAACTTATTAACAGTTTACAAGATAAAACATGACTATCAATTCATGTACAAAGCATTTGGCAACATTCAAAATATTTTTAAAATTTCTGCTGAGATTTCTTCTTTGATCCCGTATTGTTTTTTTTTAGAAATACTTTTTCATTTCTCCAGTGTTGTTTGATTATCCAGCTATCTTTCTGTTCTTGATTTCTAGTTTAACTCTGTTAAACTGTGGTCTGAGAGCAGACATTGTATGATTTCTCTTCTTTTACATTTGTGAAGATGTGTTTTATGACCCAGAACGTGTGTCTCTTGGAGAGCGCTCTTTGGGGACCCAGGAAGGAGAGAACATGTCTCTTGGAGATGTTCCATGGGTGCCTGGGAAGCAGATGTCTCTGGAGAGCGCTCTGTGAGAGCCTGGGAAGGACAGAACGTGTCTCAGGAAGAGTGCTCCGTGGGTGCCCGGAAAGGACAAAGTGTGTCTCTTGGAGAGCGCTCCGTGGAGGCCGGGAAGGAGGCATATTCTGCCCTTGGATGAAGCGGTTTGTGGAGGTGCAGCACATCCCGGAGTAGATGGTGCTGCTGAGTTCACCGTGTCCTTGCAGACCTTCTGCCTGTTGGATCCGTTCTCCTCTGGGACAGGGCCGCCCGCTGCTTCTCTCTCCTTGCAGCTCTCTGTGTTTTCCCTCACACATGGTGCTGTTGTTAGGGTGTATAAGGTCTTGTTGGAGAGCTGACCCCTTCATCCTTATGTTATGCCCCTTTTTATGTCTGATAACTTCCTTCCTCTGAAGTCTGCTCTGTCTGAAATTAACAAGTTACTCCTGCTTTTTTTGGATCAGTGTTAGCATCGTATGTCTGTCTCCGTCCATTTACTTTAAATTTCTGTGTATCAGTATATCTATTTATTCATTTTATTATTAACCTTTTAAAAATACTTCAGTAATCTGTACACCCCATGTGGGGCTCGAACTCATGACCCTGAGATCTAGAGTTGCACACCCTTCTGACTGAGCCAGGCAGGTGCCCCGTCAGTGTATTTGGAGTTTCTTAGAGACAGCACCTAGTTCGGTCTTAGTTTTTTTTTTTTTTTTAAATTTTTAATTTTTTATTGTTTTATAAACACATAATGTATTTTTATCCCCGGGGGTACAGGTCTGTGAATCGCAAGGTTTATACACTTCACAGCACTCACCAGAGCACATACCTTCCCCAATGTCCTCGGTCTTCGTTTTTAAACCACTCTGATAATCTCTTTTAATTGGTATATTTAGACCATCGGCATTCAAAGTGATTGTTAATATAGTCGATTAATTTATACACCATATTGTTACTGTGTTCTGTTTGTTGTTCTTTGTTCCTGTTTTTTTGTTACACTCTTTTTTTCTTTTTATGTTTTTTTAAGCAAATAAATAAAGGGAATAATGAGCATAAATTAAGGGTGAGTTAATTTAATTCCCAGAAGCATGTTGGTTTCGAACCTGACATGAACATGCTTTGATAATGTAAGCAAGATTCATATTTTCATAAATTCATGTTATATTCACTTTGTAGACCATTTCCAGCTTTTGAAAAATATTTCTCAGTTGTAATCTCTCTTGAAGCTCACTTTTTTTTTTATTTTTAATTTTTAAAATTTCTTTTCAGTGTACCAGAATTCATTGTTTATGCACCACACCCAGTGCTCCATGCAGTAAGTGCCCTCCTTAATACCCACCACCAGGCTCACCCAAGCCCACAACCCCCTCCCCTCCAAAACCCTCAGATTGCTTCTCAGTCCACAGTCTCTCATGGTTCACCTCCCCCTCCAATTTCCTTCAACTCCCTTCTCTCTATCTCCCCGTGTCCTCTGTGTTATTCCTTATGCTCCACAAGTAAGTGAAACCATATGATAATTGACTCTTTCTGCTTGACTTATTTCACTCAGCATAATCTCCTCCAGTCCTGTCCATGTTGCTACAAAAGTTGGGTATTCGTTCTTTCTGATGGAGGCATCATACTCCATAGCATATATGGACCACATCTTCCTTATCCATTCGTCCGTTGAAGGGCATCTTGGTTCTTTCCACAGTTTGACGACCGTGGCCATTGCTGCTATAAACATTGGGGTGCATATGGCCCTTCTTTTCACTCCATCTGTATCTTTGGGGTAAATACCCAGCAGTACAATTGCAGGGTCATAGGGAAGCTCTATCTTTAATTTCTTAAGGAATCTCCACACTGTTCTCCAAAGTGGCTGCACCAACTTGCATTCCCACCAACAGTGGAAGAGGGTTCCCCTTTGTCCACATCCTCTCCAACACATGTCGTTTCCTGTCTTGCTAATTTTGGCCATTCTAACTGGTCCAAGGTGGTATCTCTGTGTGGTTTTGATTTGAATCTCCCTGATGGCTAATGATGATGAACATTTTTTCATGTGTCTCTTAGCCATTTGTATGTCTTCATTGGAGAAGTGTCTGTTCATGTTTTCTGCCCATTTTTTGACATGATCATCTGTTTTGTGTGTGTTGAGTTTGAGGTGTTCTTTATAGATCCTGGATATCAGCCTTTTGTCTGTACTGTCATTTGCAAATATCTTCTCCCATTCCGTGGGTTGCCTCTTTGTTTTGTTGACTATTTCCTTTGCTGTGCGGAAGCTTTTAATTTTGATGAAGTCCCCAAAATTCATTTTCCC